CTTGATTTGTTATTTGTTGTGCGTGGTTCGGTCCTACTGTACTTACTAATAGAGATCTTTTCTAAAACCCCAAATTGAGTAACCTTTCGACTTGTGACAAGACAAGGACTGTATAGTACGACTGCACTACACTCTGGATAATATACAACATGATTTATCTAACGTGGGAATTTTAAAAACGAGGTTACCAATCATCCTAGGATGACGTTGACACATCGATATCAACAATTTGAAATATATAACTACTTTACTTATCATGGCTATCAATAAATGTTATCAGCTTCTTGATAAACACCACGCATTACAATCCTTTGAGCCATTGTTTATTAATAAAATAAAAAAAAATAACAAAAGCTTATCACAAGCCGAGAAATTGTGAATAGAGAAAATGATAATGTCCTTCTGGCCCATCGTAATTTTAATTTATTATTTAGATATTTATTTACATGACACGCCCATAATCAACTCTCTATTGTCCCGTTTATTTTCGTAGTAATGCCAATCGAGACTACTCTGTTCTTGTCGAAATTCCAAATATTCATTTGACTGAAATTTTCAATATATCATTTTTTTATTATCTATATTTAAATTAGTATAGCGAGAACTACCAGTTCTTTATCTGAATCTGACAAAATGCAACTTTAATTAATTTGAACAATTAAATGTAACATACAGTCTCAATTCCTCTTGCATAGCCATTTTAGACTGGATAAGTGTAATGAAATGAAATGGGGTTTAACGTCCTACTGTTCTGCTCCGACTTAACTAATGAAGACGGGTAGACTGGATAAACGTAAGTTAAGAATGCGATCCGAAGGTAAGCAGGGGAATTAAGGAGCGCTTTATCCGAAGAAGAATCCAAGGCAGCAAGAGCTTTTCGATTTGTGTAAAACCGCTGTATATGACACACGGGAATGGAAATTATGATATAAATTCATTTAACATACATTATGCAAGAGCTAATCTTCCTATTGCAGCCTGTGATATTTACTGGATTAGGATCCGATCTGTACTCTACGCTCATTCATGATTAAATCAAGAAAAGGATAATCAAGACCATGTGTTTTATCGTACCGACTTTAGTAATTTAGTAATCGCTAAATTCTCGGTTCAGTCTCGATCAATTTGACTTAAGTTTTCAGCAAATTCCCTTTACATTATCTAGTTTTTAACTATTATAATGAGAACTGCCAGTCCTTTATCTAATCTCCCATAATGTATCTTTAATATCTAAATTTAAAAAGACGTACGGAGTCCCCGACTGAAGTTTTCTACTACTGTCTTCTTTCTATTTTTAGGGAGTAATGAAAGTTACTTAACTGGGTTAAATATAACGAAAATCCTCAAGCCGGGTCAAATATAATGGAAGTCACTTATTGATAAAATAAAACATTACAAAAGCTTATCACAGGCCCATCACATATGATGAAAGTTACCAAACCGGGACAGATATAATGAAAGTCACGATAGTCGGTACGTATAATAAAGGAAATGGGGTTTAACGCCCTACTGTTTTGCTCCGACTGGGATAATTAAGACGGAAGGGGGGGGGGATACATATACATGTATAATGAAAGGCACAAAGTCGGGTCAAATATAATGGAAGTCACATAACCGGGTCAAATATAATGAAAGTCACCAGGTCGGTACATACACAATGAAAGGTACAAGGCCGGGTCAAATAATAGAGTCAGTAATAAAGAAAGCCAGAAGTCGAGTCAGTAAGAAAGAAAGTTACCAATCCGGGCCAGAATAAAGAAAGTTACCAAGCTGGGCCAGACTAAAGAAAGTTACCAATCTGGGCCAGAATAAAGAAAGTTACCTTGCTGGGTCAGAAATAAAGAACGTTAACAAGCTGGGCCAGAAATAAAGTTACCAAGCTGGGCCAGAAATAAAGAAAATCACTTAGCCGAGTAAGATATAATGAAAGTCACAAAGACGAGTTAGATATAATGCAAGTCACAAAGTCGGGTGAAATATAATGCAAGTCACAAAGCCGGGTGAAATATAATGCAAGTCACAAAGTCGGGTGAAATATAATGCAAGTCACAAAGTCGGGTGAAATATAATGCAAATCACAAAGCCGGGTGAAATATAATGCAAGCCACAAAGCCGGGTGAAATATAATGAAAGTCACAAAGACGGGTGAAATATAATTAAAGTCACAAAGCGGATGAAATATAATAAAGGTATGTGTGTGTGAAATAGCTATATTTAACGTCCTAATCCACCGGAGTGACAAATGAAGGTACATTTAGACAATGGTATATAACCCTTAAACACAAATCATTAGTTACAACAACATGAAATATAGTTTTCGTTATTTGGGGTTTTTTTGGTGTGGGTTTTTGTGTGGTGTTTTTTTTTTTTTTTTGGGTGGGGGGGGGGGGGTGGAGGGGAGGGTGAGGAGTGTCTTTTTTTCGCGTGTCTTGTTATTGTGTAACGTTGGTTATATTGTAGTTATGTATATAACTTTGTGGAAAACTGCACTTCCGCGGACACTGCCAAGGAATCGGACATACGTCTTTATACTTTTGCACGGCGAATATGGTTTAACCTACGCATATATTTAAGGCTCCAAAAAAGACCGGTAATAGTCTCTTACATAATGCCTGTTTTATTTTTTGTTATTTTTTTTTTTAAATATATTATAAAACATTTATTTTGGCGGCAACTCTATCAACTCACGTGGATGAAGGTATTCACCAAAACTCAATATCGCACGGCCACTGACGGAAAAGCACATTAAGTAACATATTGCACTCACGTGGATGAAGGTATTCACCTTTTTTGTATCACTTACCGTAATCTTGGTAAAAGTCAAAATAACAATTTTAAGTAGGTGTCACGAAATTATAATAAAGCTTACACTAAAAGGTTAGATTTCTTAATATTTGTACGACTGTGCAACTTATTAATACCCTTTACCATAGCACGTTCAACATGTCACCGAATCTGCTAATTCTAATTAACAAGAACCCCCCTTTGGTATTTCACATTATAACTTTTACCCCCAACTAAAATTAAAAGTCATATTTTCTTCTATTAATATTGTGCTAAAAGATTTGTTCAATGACAGCTGAAGTTCATGTCTTTCAGATCTTCTTTTTAAATAAAAATATTGTTTATTTGAATTTGAATTTTTAAATATTTTATGTTCAAAAGAATATATATATTTTTTTCTAAATCGTCGTGTTGTGTGGTGTTTTATTTTAAAATGATAACATTATTGTCAATTCAGATTTAATTTTTTGTCTAAACTGGCTTAAACCATTTAATTAAGTCCAGCAGACAATAGTCCTAGTTTCGGGCAAAGGAGCAACGGACGGCGTATAGTCGTTCGGATGGGACGAAAACCCAGGTCCCGTCTACACATTGACGTGCATGCAAAATAACCCTGGAGAGTTGGAATTCAAAAGAAGAGTAGGCCGTATCGTCGCTATCCATTGATAAAATTTCCCTCATTATATATGGTATACTTCATAGGTCCAGGGGATCTTGTGGCTAAGTGGGTAAGACGCTGGCTCGCTAGCCTGGAGGTCGGGTGTTCGATCCCTGCATTGGCCTGACAAGTACAGCTGTATAGTCGTTCGGATGGGACGAAAAACCGAGGTCCCGTGTACATATTGGTGTGCACGTAAAAGATCCCTTGGCAGTTGGAATTCGATATAAGAGTAGGCCGTAGCACCGCTGCCCGGGCAAAATTTCCCTCATAGCACACTGTATGGCGTATGCCCGTCTTCATAAGTCCAGTCGGTGCAGAACATTTGGACGTTTATCATCAATTCATTTCATTTCATTACATTTCTTCTTCTTCTAAAATTCTTAATTAGGCTATGGTCTCAAGTAGGTTATCAAGTAAAATAAGCCATGGCTGGTAAGACTCGGTGCCGAACAGTAGGACGTTAAATTTCATTTCATTTTATTTATATCCAACCTCGTGGGTTTTCTCCGGGTCCTCCGGTTTCCTCTCACTGCTAAAGACACCTACGCGCATGCGAATTTTTGAAATAAAAATAAACCATATGTTAGTCCCAAAATGACCTAGTCTGTGTCGAGTGGACGTTAAACCGCATTTCTCTCTATCTCTCTTATTTTATTTATAGGTCCACATAATACATACCTATAAAATAATGAACCTTACCGTGACTGAACCACGGTTTATTAATATTCATGAATGAACCAAATTACCGGCTTATTTTATTATAAGTTCTTGCTGATATATACAGTTAGATCAGCTGCTTAGCATGAGTGACATTTGTTCCGTATGAAAAATTATGCACGAATATAAAATTAATTCAGATTTAGAAATGAATAAGGGGTTATCGTTTATCTAAGACGAACATAAAATCATATAGGTTCCTATGGAATAAATAGTGCCCAGACAGCGGTACTACTTCATTTCAAATTCTACCTGCCAAACTAAAGGTCTTGTTTAGGTAGACGCCATGTGTACGTGGGACCTTGGTTTTTCGTCAAATCTGAACGACTCGATCGCTGGAAAATCCCCGGGAACTGTCTGGACCTTCTAGTTAGTGAGTCAGTGTCTTACCCACTAAGCCACCGTGTCCACCCAATCCCACCTCTTAACAAACTATAAATAGTGTTATGGTTATTGAGTGTAAAGCCATATTTTAAAAATGGTCATTATTTCACATAACAACCATGAGTGAAAAGAACCTACTTTGTATCACTCTTCGACATCCCGCGTGTTGCATGCCGTTTCAGTTGTGATTCACTGATGTTGAAAGAAAAAATCCGACTATGAAATCATGTTGGCAAATTTATGTATCATATTAAAATTGTTTAACTGTCAGATATCTAGTATATATTGTGTTAAATTCATTGTAAATCCATAGGAAGTAATGCAGGCTAAACTCCTTTGTTATAGTCTTAGCGGAAAAACAAAGCGACGGACAATGGAGAGCATATAATAGTATTGTTAACCGCTCTATAACTTGTGTGTGAACCTGTAAGCTTGCTGTTTTATATGTTTAGCAATATTTGACGTAGTTTGTCCATCTATTATAAAGGAGACAAACAAGAAATTTATAGATCGGAACAACCGTTAATCTTATTCTCAGTAACAAAAATGGACACGCTATTTTGTTGGGTGTTTCCCTGAAAGCACTCCTACAGCTATGGCCTACGGGTAAGTTTTTTTCAGATCTCTGTAAGAACTAATTTGGTGTTATATCTAGCCGCAACATCACAATTTCTCACCGTAAACGTACTTTGAAAGTATCAGCTCTTTTGGTGTCGTGGTGGTGAACAGTCCATTTGCTGATTACACCATTTTTTTAGAACTTCGAATTTTGTCTAATGGTTTGGATTACTTGGTTTTATTTTATTAAATGAATTAAATTTGTTGAAGTTACAGATTTCAAGGATAAACCCTCAGGCAGTGTCTCGACTGCAAATAATGTTTTTGACTTAGCATACATTGCGTTTCAAATTGTTTTGCTGCAGTTTTTAATCTGGAAAGAGAAATGAAATGAAATGGGGTTTAACGTCCGACTGTTCTGCTCCGATTGGGCTAATGAAGACGGGCACACGCCATACAGTGCGCCATGAGGGAAATTTTTCCCAGGCAGCGGCACTATCGCCTGCTCTTATATCGAATTCCGACTGCCAAGAGATCTTTTACGTGCACGCCAATGTGTACACGGGACCTCAGTTTTTCGTCCCATCCGAACGACTAGACAACTGCACTACTGACAAAGGGAAAGTACGTCGGCTGGAAAGAGAATGAATCTTGCATAAACTTTTTATTAGTATGGTGTTAAGAAACCGTATGTTTGTACACCACTAGTGGGTCGCCCACACAGTAGTAGGGGGTGGTTCCAGGTGACGGCCACTGGTTACTATATGTGTATTATAACTCAATCTCATATTTCCTTAACAACGTGTAAGTTGAAGATGTTCGATGTGACGGCCCCGAATGTCTGCCAAGTAAGTGTAAGTCTATTATAACACCACAACACATTTCGTAACAGCCTGTATGTGGGAGTGGTTGAGGTGGCGCATCCAAACGATCCCTGTTAAGTTACTATATTCAGTCTATAGTATGAGGTTGGATGTGACGCCCCAAAACGACTGTCATGTTACTGTATGTGTATTATAACACAAATACATCTTTCGTAACAACGTGTATGTTGAAGATGTTCGATGCGACGCCCCCAAACGACTTCCAAGTTACTGTAAATCTATTATAACACAAGTACACATTTCGTAACGACTTGTATGTTGGAAAGGTTCGAGGTGGCGCCCCCAAACAAGAGAGAGAGAGAGAGAGAGAGAGAGAGAGGGGGGGGGGGAGATGTGGACAGACAACCCTACTCTTTGTCACGTACAACCGGGGAATCGAAACCACGCCAGTTGACTCAATGACAGATCTTATGATACAACGAGCATTCAGAAATCCACCCCCTTGCCCCAAATGATAAAACATTTACTGTAAGTCTATTATAACATAATCAAACCTTTCGTAACGACTTGAATGAATCATAGCACATGCTTTTGTCCTTAATTAATATCTTTCTATTTTACATTTTGTTCGGTTCGTGTAAAATGAAATGTCATCCAATTTCCGACCAAATTTATGTCTAAATTCCTATCACGCTTAACCCCTCCTACATTTCCATACATATATAAACTAAATTAAGATTATCTTTCTATCACGCGTGACATTAAAACTAATTTATTGTAGGTTTATTCTACGTCATGGATTTATAAATTGAAATGGGGTTAATGACTTACTTTTCTGCACCGACCGGGATAATGAAGACGGGTATATACGCCATGCAGTGGCGCTACGGCCTACTCTTATTTCAAGTTCTTTTACACAGGGTTCTTGTATCAAGAGAGAGAGAGAGGGGGCATTTAACCTTCTACTCGATACAAAGCAGTAGGAGGAAACCGGAGGACTTGGAGAAAACCCACGAGATTGGACAGTTGAACCTACTCCTTGTCACGAAACAACGCCACTTGGCTCAGTGACAGAGCTTATGATCAACCGCACGCGCGTTAACCGACATGGTCTCCACTTTAGGGGATGATGCCCTTTCCTTTTCCACAGTAACGAAGCGGACTGTGGAATTTAAGCGTGGCACAGAGAGCCTTGACGATGACCCGCGTCCGGGAAGGTCATCAATTGCAATTCAAGAAACCTTTACCTGGGTTACGACATGGTGATGGCTGATAGACGATCGGCCATGTGTGTATGACTATATGTAAAATATCAATGGAACCATCAACTTTGTACAGGTCTTTGACAGGTATGTTTACAACCTTTTAGCCAGCCCTCGTAAATCTCTGATCTGTAGACCCCTTGCCACATTGCCAATCGTCTTTCCTCCCTCACGCTCACGATTTATTTCCTCGGTCTATCATTACAACATTTTAATCTGTAAATAATGATGTTTCATAGTGAAAGATGACTTTGTTCTTGGAGGAGTCGCGATCAGATGAAGCTTTCTTCATTGGGATCGCAACCAACAAAAGGTTGGGAACCACAGCCCTACATTAAAGTCCCATAGGCGTTCTGTGATGTCTTCCGGGCGCTCATGGGCGTTGCCTCATATGGCCGAATCCGTTTGATAAAATGTGAGAGCTCATCGCAATAACACCACCGAAAACAAATTTGGTAACAATGTACATTGTCATTTACCAATCTGAAGAACAGTAACACCCCAATGCCTAATGTCGACAATATTATAAATAAGGTGAAAATGAAAAATAAATTGTAATATTATCGCAAAATTGCTACCCTTCAAAATATGGCGTCGCATACTATGAAGACCTACTCAGTAAAAAATTCAACATTCCCGTTATCACGATTGAAATCATGGTTTTAATCGTGGAGTAATCGTGTTGATCCTATCATGTCTTATCATATGTCAATCGTGTTGACTGTATCGAAACGTATCCAAACGTATCTGCACGTAGCAGATCGTGGACTCAGCAAGGACAATCCTATCGTAACGCATCGGACGACAGTGAGAACCTAGCATAAGCGTCGAAACCTTCAAAATGAAGCTTGTTCCCCGATTTCTACCCGAAAAGTCGACGGATTTACAATACGGACCGGGCTATTAATCGAGATTACCCCCGTTATACGTGTTACCGCCAGTATGCCCAACGCTAGGATCATACCCTTCGCTAGCACCCTGATCATCGTAAAATTCGACAGAAGTAAGAGTGAAAAGCTCTTTTATTGAAGATTTTATTTTCACCTAATTATTCAGTTTTCATATTTGCTATATTTACAAAGATTTTGTAAAGGTCAGATAAGATGGAATATGGATGTCACCGATACAAGCTCGCTATTTCTGTAAATCCACAATGATTCCGAACTGATTAAAACACAGATCCAATTTCGTTTCGTTTTTAGAGTTTCAAAATTTCGATTTTACTTGTCTTTACCACACTTGGATCTGGAAGCGTTGTTATTTAATTCGTGTTTTGCTTGAAATGAGGGGTCAGCCAATCAAATGGTCTGTCGAATCGAGCGTTTGGCCTTTTTTGCGCGGAACTGTGGGTAGACATTAGCGGCAATAGAAATCAAAACAAAGCAAAAGTAGATAAAAAATACATGGCGGTCGCTAATTAGTTAATCGAATGACTGACGTAATCGGGTCAAATGTCGCTTGCTTGGTATAAACTGACGTCATAGAACATGAACTCCCACTATAACTTGTTAGATCTACATGTAGTGTAGGCCATCGAAAGTATAAAAAACGAAACGTAATATAGATCTATATTTTAATTAGATTGCAATGATTCGGACATTTGTTTTGTTACATAATAAATAAAACCTTTTGTAAGACAAACGAGCTTACAGTAATCAGTGGATGTTCTGCCAATCAACTGTTTTGGATTATTAAATTGATTTTAAAACAAATCCTTTTTTTTATTTATGTCACCATTTTCTTCTGTCTCCTATAGCTCCATATAGGGGATCACGTGGCTAAGTGGGTAAGACGCTAGCTCGCTAGCCTGGAGGTCGGGTGTTCGATCCCTGCATTGGCCGAGAAAGTTCATCCAGATTTTCCGGTGTGGTTCTCCCTTGTCAGTGATGCAGGACGGAGGGGCTGACAAGGAAAGCTGTCTAGTCGTTCGGATGGGACGAAAAACCGAGGTCCCGTGTACACATTGGCGTGCACGTAAAAGATCCCTTGGCATTTGGAATTCGATATAAGAGTAGGCCGTAGTGCCGCTGTCCGGGCAAAATTTCCCTCATTGCACACTGTATGGCGTATGCCCGTCTTCATTAGCCCAGGTTAGGAGCAGAACAGTAGGACGTTAAACTCCATTTCATTTCATTTATAGCTCCATATAAGTTGGTCTGTTTATTAAAAGCCTGATTTTTTAGGAAATATCAGGATTAAGCTTCAATTTTTAATCTAAACACAGATGGGGTTTAATTATTGTATTAACCCGTTTCAATGATAAATAAACTCAAACTAGAAATGAAATGGTACCTATGTAAAGTTCATAATAACACAACTTTATGGATTTACTACTTCTTAGTTTATTACATGCAACGTTTCAATACTCTTACAGGCATCTTTATAAAGCAATGAATAACAACCTTACATTTATAGTACATCCATGAGTAAAAACAATATAACAATCAAAATATAACATTAATTAAGATTTATAACAACAACTATTTCCCTTTGAATATGACTTCACTATCTCTATTAAATATACAGATTAAATAGGGGACTGAAGCCACCAACTAATAAAATTTTATCCTACAATCAGTACGCCCTTATCTACACAATTAACTAGGTTGGTGTCTTTAAGCTTAGGTTGATTCTATTCCTCTCCTTCCTTATGATCACAATGTAAACTAACCACTTATAACACGTATATGTCCCCATGCATAATCATACCACATTCACACGTGTTATAAGTGGTTAGTTATATTTTGATTGTTATATTGTTTTTACTCATGGATGTACTATAAATGTAAGGTTGTTATTCATTATTGATCATTGCTTGATAAAGATACCTGTAAGAGTATTGAAACGTTGCATGTAATAAACTAAGAAGTAGTAAATCCGAAAAGTTGTGTTATTATGAATATTGTACCTCTACTTCTAAATGTCATTCAAGGAACCTATGTAAAGTGTTTAAGATATTTAT